ATGATTAGTGGGAAGAGTATGCCTTCTGCAATGGAGGCTGAGAGGCCTGCTACATTAATGGAGGTTAGAGAGAGTAATTGGTCATGTGCAATGGAAATGGCCAATTTGGTGGAGGTTGAGGGGGATTATATATCATTGTCAACAGAGGCTGATCTTACTATGTTAAAACTGAGTGCTGCAGGATGTGATGGTAGTGGTTAGTCAAGAGAGGGGGCCAATTTGCTGCAGCTTGGGCCAACTTTTTGGACTCAGCCTTTGCCTCAGCTTTATGCTGTTGCTTTCTGGCTTGTTTCTCTTATTCAACTCACTTCTGCTCTTTTTTTTGCTATCAGTTGAAGGACCATAGTTCAATTTTTTACTTATGCTGGATACTGTCAGGTTCTGCTGACCATGGGGGCTCAGCTTAACTGGGCAAATCCTTACTAAATGGACACAATGTTCTGTGCTTATAACCTAGCACTCTGGGGATGGTTTGGACTTTAAATACTTTCAAGGAAATGCTAGGGGGAGTGGTCCAAGCAAGTCCCAAGTGATCTGGGGAAGTCTAAGATCAAGTATACTAAACATTGGGCTTGGGTGGGCATCAGGTACAAGTCCATAAGCAAATGTCTGGGCTGTAGAGTAAGCAGAGGCTTTGTGAGTGATGGAAGTGGAGCTGGAGTTTGATGGAGGATCAATCAAGGGTGATGGGTTCCAGGGCTGAGTGTAGAGCAAGGTCCAGAGTTGTTATAAGAATGTTTGAAGGGTTGTAGGGTGTGCACAGAGTTTGTAATGACATCAGAGTCAAAAGGGACTTAGGAATGATGAGGAAATAGAGACAGATGAGACAAGATGAGACAGAACTGAGAAAGGGATAGATTTAAGACTAAAAATAGAAACAGAGGCAAGACCAGAAAAAGTAATGGTGAGAAACATAAGACACAAGTAACCAAGTAAAGCAATATCAAGAGTAGAGTATGGAGTGCTACTCTATAGCTTATATACTGACTATGGAGAGCTCCAGGGAGTAGTGGGTCTGGCAGTGGGGCTCATCAGGGCTGTGCAGAGCCAACAGGTGTTGGTTGTGATCAGAGAGCAGCCATGGTGATATACTTATGAGATCAGTTGGAAATGTGGGCTGTTCTGGAGTCGCATGATACTGCAGAGCTGGTTGGGTAAATCAGAGTGATATACTGGTGATGTATGCTGGCATTAGGAACAGTGGGGGAGGGTCTCAGTGGCTCAGGAGGGGCAGGGGGAGTGTTGAAGGCCATGGAAAGGGTGTTGGAGTTAATTAGGGGGCTGTCAGGGTTTGCTGAAGAAGCATTGGAGTTATCCAGAGTGGGCATTGTGGGTGAACAAAGGTTGAGGGGGTTTGAGGGGGTATTGGGGGGACTCTGGGGAAGCAAGGTGGCTGGGAACAAGGTCTGGGGTTCTGGAAGTGGGTTGTGACAGGTACAATGGCTGTTGTGGACAAAGCTGCTGTTACCCTGGCAGTTTCTGTTACTGTTACCCTGATAGCAGGTGCATGCCCTAATATGTCATGCTCCTCTATGCCTGGCTCAAGACAAGATCTGATGGGTCTCTCCCCCACCTCAATTCCATGGCAGTTGCTTATAAAGTGCCATTTGTGGAGAGTAACAAGAAAATAGTGGTTTTTCAGTCTATACAATGGTCATTCCTTGCTTCATTAGTTACTAGAGATTATCATTTGTTGGTACCTACCTATTGAATTGACATCATTCTGGCCAAGTTGTGACTCTAGATGGCTAGGTTGGAGATTGTTGTGGAGCACTAGGCTATATTTTAGGTCTGGGCTGGCAGAAGTGGAAAGAATATACTGGGATAATGTAGTGGCAGGAGTGTCAACTACAGCAGCAAGTTGGAAGGTTCTTGTGGAATCTTTATGAGGCAGCTGTGTAGGCATGAGGGCTCTAGGCATTAATAAAGTGATAGAGCTGCAAGGCAGCAGCAAAAATGTTTTGTGACTGCTAGATGTGACTGAGCCGTTTGCCAAGATTATCTTATCTGTAACTATATTATATCAAAAATCCACCTGTCCCTGCATGTCTTCCTCTGGTGGGAGATGTCAACTCTCCTCATCTATAGCCCACTTGGCTTCAGCATGACTTGGTTGGTAACTCCAGCTTGGATTGTTGTCATGCATCCACTTTGGCTGAAAGCTCCAGCAAATAAACAAAAGTACATTTCTAACAAGGAAGGTTGGCAGAATTTCCTTCTACATCAAGTAATTTGACATTATGTATATTCTGGGATGAAAGCCAACCTCAAAGTTACATATAAAAGAACAATAGAGCTTGCTCCACTAAATGGGATCCATGTGAAGTGACTCCTGCACATATACAATCCAGTTGGGGGGCATACTCAGCCACTAAGGATTGAAGTATACGTGGTATGCAATAGCATATGACACATATGCAGTCAGGCTGAGGAAGCAGTCTTGCATTGCATAGAGTAGACCTGTAGCCTGGGAGTATGTGGTGCAAAGTCTATTATAGGCCATGTTATATAGAAGATCAATGACTGGACCTTTCATGTACAAAGGGAGCATGAGATTATAGTCTATGAACTCTTTTTCAAGTTTATAAAGATTGTTTTTGAGCATATTTCATTGAATGTAGACATTAGAATGAATACAGTATAGGCACAAGCAATTTGCCTCTATAATAGGTAATTTACCAGGTATAAGCTTCAGGCATTCAAAAATTCCAGTATATTCAAGTAATAAGGATAAAAATGCAAGGTATATCTTGTTTACAATGAGTCATTGCATTGTGCTGGGGCCATGCAAGTATTGAGACAGGTAGACAAGCTCCTCCTGTTGGAAGGCAGGAATTTGCATGAGAAGCTAAGTTCATGGTTGTGTTGGTCCCAGAATACAAACAGTGAGGTGGTGTGGGTGCTTCAAATGAGGTATTTGTTGTCACATGTTATCAGAGCTTTCTATATTTCATGAATTCATTCATGAATTCAACAGTTAGTCATGGATTCTAGGGAGTGATGAGTAAGAACTTGTAAACACTAAGACTAATTGACTCACAAATGTGAACATAGCTAAGCCCCAAAGCACAAGACACCACCACCAAAGTACCTAAATCTACTTGATGAAATCTTGAATGTTAGCTGTTCTGGAGTTTTGTATCAACTAAGAATATTGAAGAGAGTATGTAAGAGAGGCAGCAACAATGACAACAAGGAGGAATAAGAGAAAAAGGGACTTAGCTGTTTTGTGACAAAGCCACCACCACATAATTCAAGATGACATATAATCATTGCCCAAAAATCATGCATTACATAGATAATTAACAATAGAAGCATAAAGTGCCAATCAAGCAACAAGCAGATCAAGGACATGCTTTGTAGAGCAAAGTGACCTGACCCAGTGCCAGGAGCAGCTTAGGCCATTCTCCACCTGATCAACTAACATCACACATGATCATTGCCTAAAAATCATGCATGATATATATGATTAACAATGTAATCATATACAATGCATAAATATTAATCCTTACAAGTACAGCCTTTCTTTGAACTCTATTTCTACTTTGTCAACAATTCAGCTCCCTTATCATATGGTCTTTGGTGGATAATAAAAGCCAGTCAGGCATTTTGAGGCAGTAGATACAAGCCAAGTGATAAATGCCTATATGTTGGCATATAAGACCTGCATTTGAACAGATTGTGCTGTGGTTGTCTTCCTTTAGAACTGTTATAAAACAGGGTCAGTGGTCTAGGACAACTGTTTTAGAGCACAAGAAAGAGAAAGCTGCAACAACAACAGAGTGATAGAGCACAAGAAAAAGAGAACTGCAACAACAACATAGTGACTATGACAACAGAATGAGAAAAGGGGACAGTTACTTTTTCACAAGGTTTCCACCATGTAATGCACATCACCTGGTCACCTCCCACAATGTGATTGGTTACATCACAAGACTATTCACCACATGTGTGTTAATGCATCAATGGAAGCAAATATTCAATGATGACACAATGTGAAAACATGGTCATTCCACTTAGGGTCTGTTATAGAACAGAGTTAGTAGTCTAAAACAACCATCCTAGAACACAAGAAAGAGAAAGCTACAAAAATGACAGAGTGATAAGCATGGATGGTGGCCAAGAGTTGGTTAAGAGGCAAGCAAGGCAAGCTAAGCATAAGGGGCAACACTAGAAACACTTACAGTTGGACTAATGAATAGGCCAGGAAGTCACTGCTATTATTATGCCTAAGGATATTCTATCCTGCAGGCCACCTGTATACTACATCAGACAAGTTGTGTTACTAATGCTATATAACCAAGTGGGCACCAGTATGTAATAGTGTATGATGTAACAATAATATCATAGAAAGTAAAGCCCAATCATTACTCATCAGGAGCAACTCATGCCAAGTAGAGAGGAGCCAGAGGGCCAAGTGGTCGTTCAGATGAGCTAAGGTGAAGGCCACATATTGGACTAAACCCAGAATAGAGTGAGAATCAGTTCAAAGACCTTGTTTTCTGATACACACATGCAAAGAAGTGTGGGAGTCTGTCACTCTTATAGCTGTAGATAGCTGTCACTATACTATACAACATGGGTGCCAAGTACTTCATGAATGAAATAAGATTTTTAAAAAAAATCTGAACAGCTTCATTCAGATAATTCTATTCAGCCAGGTCCTTTATACATGTTCATGCTATTGCCTAATCATGCAATGAACCAGTGACAAAATTAGTGCCCCACTCATGGTAGCACAGGAATATTGGTGGACACACCATTGTTAGCTTGAACATTGACTTGACATAAATTCTGAATTCACACTGAATGAAGTGGATTCAAAGTGAAAGTAGGTAACTTTCTCATCTAGTCAGTAGGCTTGCAATGCATGCACCATTTGTTGTTATGTGATTATGATCAATGTCAAAATTTGAACTTATAAAATATTGAATTTCTACACATGATTCCATATATGAACTCATATGAGAAATATCAGAACTAAATTTGTTCCGTTGAACTGGACACATCCGGAATCGAACCGGAGACCACTCGCAGATCTAAAGAACTGAGATGCAAAGCGAGCGTGATAACCAGCTACACCATGTGCCCTTGTAAAAAATGTCCTGCTTGTCATTACACGCCGAGACACGCCTTTCGAAGGACAAAACCTTTGGGTCCATGAAATTGTTCTGCACGTCCAAAACTGCAGGATGGGGCGGGAATTGTTCTTTTTTGGGAATTTGGAGGAGACTGGAGTGGTTGTGGGTAAAAGAGATGTGGTCCGTGCGCGTGAGAAAGGCAGCTGGATTCGGGTGCTGGCGTGGTTGGCGCTCTTGTGCTCTCATTTTGATTTCGATTTCTCTTTGAGGCTCGTTTGGTTTTAAAGTTGCAATAGTATATCGCACAGAGACTGTTCATTTCTTCTCTTCGTGCGTGTCTTTTTTTCTTCAACCAATACACTCGTTTGTGTCCTTTTTCCGGGCACCACCAACCCACGCTCCCTACTTTTGGCCCTCTCTAACCTCCTTTCCTTCCTTTTCCTTTGCGTTGCCTTTCTTTACCTACAATGGACGACTCGCAGACTGCCTTTGCGCCCCAGTACCCGCCCTATCCATTTGACATCGACATGATGAAGGTGAGTCGTCTACGCGTCACACTGCAGCCCTCTCACCCGCGTTTCAGCGGTCTATCGATCCCGTAGGCGGTCCTGATGCTAAAAAGGCCCGTTGGTCTCCCACTTCCTCCTATGTTGCCCAACCAACTACCCTCAATGGAGCCAGCAATTCTCCCCGCGATGTCTTTGCCAACTATGGCTACGGGCCTCAGGCCAGCATCTCTCAGTCTTCGTTCAACAGCTCTCCTTCGGCTGCCTTTGCCAACAGTCCGCTTTACTCGTCGCCGAACTTGTCTATTAACACCCAGACCAACGGCAATGGTTTGCATGTCCCCGGCCAGTTGAGCCCCAACACTGCTGCAGCGGCTTTTGCTGCCCAGCAGCAGAATCTACAACAGCAGCAGCAGCAGCAGCCCCAGCAGGCTAGCACCAACGGCGCCAGCTATGGACAATTCCCTGGTTACAACATGCTCGGCATGGGAATGCCTGGCATGAACATGCTCAATGGCTTCCCTTACACCGCACAGATGGGCCAATTCGGACAGGCATGTCGTTCTTGGCTTTCATTTTCCCCTGACACTGACGTAAATTCCTTACAGCAACGTCTTCCTTCTCTAAATCTCAACATTCCTGCTGCTCAAGCGGCTGCCGCGTACTCGCCTGCCGCACTTTCAGCCGCACTCTCTGCCTCATCGAACATAACAGGTCGCACGGTCTATGTCGGCAATCTCCCTGCGACTGCGTCCGTTGACGAGCTCCTCAACCTCGTCCACTTTGGCCCCCTCGAGTCAGTCCGCGTCCTACCCGAAAAATCCTGTGTCTTCCTGTCCTTCCTCGACGGTGCAACAGCCGCGGCATTCCACGCCGACGCTACTATCAAAAAGCTGTCCTTGCACGGCCAGGAGCTCCGTATTGGGTGGGGTAAACCCTCGCCTGTGCCTGCTCAGGTGGCGCTTGCTATCAGCCAGAGCAACGCAAGTCGAAACGTATATCTTGGAGGCCTCGATGAGAGTGTAACGGAGGAGCAGCTCCGTGATGATCTTAGTCGCTTTGGTCTCATTGACCAAGTCAAGATTGTCCGTGACAAGAATATTGGCTTCGTTCACTTCCTCAGTATCTCCATTGCAACCAAGGTTGGTCTGCGCATTTTTACGTCTTACGTGTGCTAAATTGTTCGTGCGTAGGTGGTCAACACTCTCCCTACGGAGCCCAACTGGGCCAACAAGCGCGTCAATTACGGCAAAGACCGCTGCGCCTACATCCCCAAATCACAACAGGCCGCTGCTCAGCAAGCCCAGGCTGTTGCTGCCCAGTCTCTCGTCTCGCCCCAATCGGCAGTCGCCGGTTTCTCTCCGTTCTCGACATACGCGCCATTCGGTACAGATGTCCTGGGCGGCGGAGCTCCAGGTGGAGTCGCAACCATGAACAGGACCGTCTATCTTGGGAATATCCATCCTGAGACTACGACCGAGGATTTGTGTAACTCAATTCGGGGTGGTGTGTTGCAGAGTATTAGGTATATGGCCGATAAACACATCGCTGTACGTAATCGTCGTTCTCATCTGTCGTCCCGCTAACATTATCATGTTTGGTGCAGTTCGTGACGTTCGTCGATCCAGGAGCGGCATTCACCTTCTATAACGTCGCGTCGTATCAAGGTTTGTCGTTGAACAACCGCCGCCTCAAGATGGGTTGGGGTAAAAACTCGGGACCTCTGCCGCCTCCTCTGGCGCTTGCAGTGCACTCTGGTGCTACGCGCAATGTCTACATTGGAAATATTGAGGACTTTGAGACGTTTACTGAGGAAAGGCTCAAACGCGACTTTGGAGAGTTTGGCGATATTGAGCTTGTCAATTTTCTCAAGGAAAAGTATGTCATTTGACTTATCACTATAGGTTATTTCTCTGATGGTCATCTCTAGGAACTGCGCGTTCGTGAACTTTACCAATATTTCGAACGCTATCAAGGCGATCGAGGGTATCAAAGCTAAACCCGAATACGCCAACCTCCGCATCGCACACGGCAAAGACCGCTGTGCCAATCCGCCCCGTTCGGGTCCTCAAGGCGGCGCACGGCGCACAGCAAGCGGGAACGGACCTAACTCTGCCGAGCCCATAAGCGCGATTGGAGAAGGTGAGGACGGTGAGATGCTTGGTGGTGAGGAGGTATTTATTAATGCCGATGGCGAGGTCGAGGAACACCATGAGGGCTCTGCTGCGAAGAAGGAACAGGAGATGGTGGTCGATGCTTCGGAGCAGACGGTGGTTGCGTGAGCCCGCGAGTCCGCGAGCCGCGGAAGCTAAAGGCTAAGGCTGATAATGATAATACCCTAAGACGATACCCCAATTTGGCGCACACCTCCCTCCACCTCCTACCCTCAACAACCACAAAGAACAATCGATGGATAATCACACAACGCTCGTTCGGCTAAACAAAGAAACGCTCTCCATGCCCACCCATGCTCAGCTTCCGTCCTGTACGAAACACGAGCATTATACCAGGATTGCTCGTGTACCTTACCCACTTCACCACCTCGCATGTGTGTTCACAATGCAAACCCGGGGTTGGAGAGCTGGCTGTCCGGTTTTCACCTTTTTTTTCTTCTTTTCTAGCCTGCTCGATTCGTTCTCAATTCAGATGATAATTATTTTATCTATGCGCACTTTTTTTTGTTGCCCCTCTCTTTATTACCTCTGAAATTCTCCACACCCCACCTGTTGTAGCTCTTGTTCGTAGTTCTTTTCTCTTTATAATCTTCTTTTCCCCTCGAATTTTCTGTTGTGTTCTGTTGTGTTCTGTTCAAACGTCTAGGTGTGTGTGGCTGGTCAGTTATAGAGCTCAGCCCACTGCCGTTCGCTCATTCTATTTCTCGCTTTTTTATTTTTATTTCCTATTCGTAGTGGCTGCGCGGCATCTGCGTCAAGCCTCGCTAATGCCAACCTTCGTCTGTGTCCCGTCTCGTTTGGACCTTTCACTGCCTGGATCCCGCTATTTTCCAAAGGATTGTCAACTCTCCTGTATGACTGCCAGCCGCAATTTTGGACCTTCCACGGCTGTTGTGTGAAAAGGACTAACTACTGTGTTCTATATCTGTGTGTTTTTTGGTCACCTTACGCGTATCTGTTAGTTGTAGCTATAAACACGGAGTAATAACGTTGACATCTCCACATTTTTGGACTGCTGGTAAGTAACGTGAAGGCGTGTGTACTTTGTTCCGCTACGTTACAAACTGGTCAGCATCGGATGACCTGGCTCGCTTTGATTCCTGATCTTCTCAGTCTTGGGCTTGGAGATTCCAACTTTCTCCTCTTATCGTATTCCGACACTCGATCCGTGTCAACTTCAATTCAAGTACATTAATTCTGGCTTAGTATGAGAGTAAGTAGTTTCGAACTTCAAAGAAAGAATGTTCCTAGTGCGGGCCCTTCATCCATCATGAGCATGTGCTACTGTGAAATAGTACATCATAAAGTACATAACTAACCACTGTCTCGTGACATGGACTTTTCTTGCGCTTGCTTCTCCTTGGTCTGGCTTCTTCCTTGGTAGTATCCAATGTTGGCAGGTGCACGAGTAAACGGTTCATGTACTCTCCTACGGCTTTGTCCTCAATGCAGAACAGACCAAGAAGCTGTTTGTCGCTTCAGGACTGACTCGGACACCTTGAACAGTTGATACTTTCGAAGAATGGCTAGGGGGAGGGACTCAGGCCTTTCTATATCGAGGGTAGAGAGGTGAATTATCGCAAAGGATAGAACGACCATGACACAGGAGATGTCAAACTGGCCATTGCCTTTGCATGGCAAAATGCTGTGATTTCAAATTCAAGGAACCCGTTGCAGAATTTGAGGGAACAGATTGTTTTGTCTTTTCAGTTCTGCTCGGTATTGCTGTTGACCCCCTAAATTTTGACCCCCTAAATTAATTCAGTTGGCTCAGTATTCACGGACATTTCTGCGTTTGACCTCGCCGACACAGACTTAATGAACGCAGCGAAGGGAGGCTTCTGAAAACTCAAAAATACCGAGCTTTTCAAAGAGACAGGAATCTCGGTTATTGTACCTCGCTGGATCCTGATCCTGGCGTTTGATGTTGGTTTAAAAGGTGCCCGCTGTCCCAGAGAAGTATACTGAGTATCTATGGTGAGCCCCTCATCTGCAAATGTTAAAAAACATTTTTTTCAAAGTCATGACAAAACAGACCTCGAATGTGTTCGGTACCATCGTAACATCGAAATATATGTACATCGTTGAATAATGATCGGATCCATATGCCTCGTGCATCTAGCGGCTAGACTTGATAGCGCCACACTAAGTTGAAAGAAGATTTTCAATCTTTTGCTTAGTTGCTAATAGAGGTTGACAGAATTTTGCAAAGTGCTCTTCAGTCATGATGCATGGATGACGTGATGTAATCTCATACACTGTAATTCATGTAATTTGGGGCGCGTCCTCAGCGAGTTTCAAAACTTTGTTTCAAATCCGTAGTTTCCCCT